GAACTCTCTGGGACCAGCAGGGTGGGTGAGCAGCTGCACGGGTTGTGGGCAGCAAGTGCCTGTGTGTCTTCAGGGACTCTCCTTCCCACCCGGATGGGTAGAGCATGGTGTCCCGAGGATGCATTAAGAAGCATGTGAGCAGCTCTGGCAGCTGGAAAGGAGCCAGGGACGGATTTGCGAGCGAAGCACTGTTCCTTTTGCAGGCTGAAACTGAATGAAAAAGTGTCACTGGAGAAGATAAAATTTCACTGCATGGATCATGATGGCGGGTCCATTTTTGTGTCACCTGTGGACAAGGAGATCTTGGAGGCCCAAAAGAAGGTAGGAAGGAATGGAGGTCGGCTTTCACTGGGGTGAGCCTGGAGATAAAACCGGGGGCACCAGTCCAAAGAGTCCCTTGGAGACCAGGTGAGCTGCTCTGGGCATGGCTCCTGCAGGGGCTGGCGGGGTGGAGGGCTTGTGGCTGCAGTGCCGCGGAGGCAGCCTTGAGTCCTGGTCCTGTGCTTCCAGTGGAAACAAAGTGGAAAGACCTTTTTATTCTTCTGTGTTAAAGAAGAAACAAGAGGAAGATCTTGTGAGCAGCTGCAGATGCCTTTGCCAGCAGCACTCATGTGTTGGGGTGTCCAACGTTTTTGGCCCAATTTCCATTGCTGTAGCCATATTTTGTTTTCTTGAGGTCTCTTGTCCATGTTATGGAGACCTTCTCGGGGCACATCACACAGCGAAGGGATGGCTGTGTGTTTGCCCTCTTCCCAGGGTTGCTGCCTGGCATTTAGTCATACAAATAAACTCTTTTTGTTTTTCAGTGAAATTTGTGCTGTTCTCGCTGCTCTTCTGGAGCATCACTGGGGGTGTCACAGAGGATTGTTTGGGGACCTCCAAGGTCGTTATTGGATGGGGGAGGTCCCGCTGCTCAGGGCGGAGGAGAACAGGCCAGGAGCTGAAGGAATCCTCTGCACAGCAGCAAACAGAAGCTGCTCCTGGGCTCTCTCCTGTCCCTAGTTTCCATGCACTGAGCGCAGAGCAGCACATCACATCTTTGCAGAAACAAACTCTTCCCGCTCTTCCCCTTAGGTGGTGGAGCACCTTGAAGGCGAGCTGGGGGTCCAGGTTCAGCGCGTGGCGATCCACAAGATGAAATATTCTTTCCAGATCTGGTCAGCCATGATGTCGTCCAAGGACAGCGATGGGCAGGTGTGTCAGACAGACCTGGCAAAGGCACAAATTTGGCAGCAGCAGGAAAGAATTGGCTGCTTGGGCCAGCCATGGAGAGCTGTAGGCTTTCCAGACCTGGCTGGGGGCCTTCTCTGCTCCATTTGTCCCCTCCAATCTCCCTTTCATCTATTTCCAGAACTACACAGCCCCTTCTCCCTTGCTTTCCCATGAGATGGCAATGGGGCTCCCAGCAGAGGAGCAACTTTAGGGAGGGAGAGGCCTTTTTAGCATGTTGACTGTTACTGTGCAGTTTTTCAAGTCAGCCAAGTAGGGAGTGCCCAGCCTCGCTCTTACATCCGTGCTGTGCCTCCTAACATCATAGGTTGGGATTAATACCCATTGGGATGCCAGGACTGAGGCAGTAGATTAGCAGCTTTTCAGCAGCAGGCCAGCATGTGTTATTCCCTTGGATTGTAGCTACTGTGCCATGCTCTGTACAGGCGTGGAAGTATTTTGTAGCAAAAATAAACTCTCAGGGGTATTATACCTCATGCATTCTGCCATACAGGCAGCTGTGAAAAGTAAACAGACCCCATCTTGCTAAGAAGGGCATGCCTGGCCCCCTCTGCCTCAGTTTTCCTGATCCCACAGCCATATAACAGCAGGAAATGCCTCCAGGAGACATTATCCAGAGCATCATCCTTTGCGTCGTGTCTGAGGAGGGGTACTGAAAGGTGCTGCTTTGGGGGGCTCTCCCTCCGCAGAGCGAGGTCCTCTTCTTGCTGTCTCTGGCAGGGGGAGATGTTCCTGCTGCCACTCGGGGTTAGTGCTAGAGCTGTGTGACACTCCTGACAGGCATGGCTTGTCTGAAAGTTGGAACAGCTTGCATCAGGATAATTGGACAGCTGGAGATTGCGCTGTCGTTTGTCAGCTTGTTCTTGCCTGTCGCACACTACCCGATTGTGGTGATGGAGGGAGCGTGTGTGTGTGTGTGTTACAGGAGGCGCAGCTGTTCACAGACCTGCTGGGGGATCATGGGAAGCCGGTGTGGCCGCTGTGGGAGCTGATGAAGTGGCTCGTGGGGATGTCTTCCCACACTCTCCCAGCTATCGGTAAGGCCGGGAGGAGCCCCGGGGTGTGCAGAGACAGTGGTGGGGTGGGTGAGTTGTGAAATGGAAATAGTGTCCTTCCAGAGCCCCATGAAGGGACTCCGGAGTTTGCACTGAGCAACTTTAGGCTGGTTTTTTTTTGTAACAATACTCGGTGTATTCAGGTCAAACGTGTGCTCCACGAGGAGTTGGCTGGATCATTGATAAATTGAATTGGATATCCTGGGAGAAGTGAGGACAGTGGAGCTGCAGGCAGGCTTTGCTCCTGTTGTGAGCCCTGCCAGGGCTGCTGAGGCTTAGAGGGAGCCAGTCAGGGGTCTGCACCAATCTCATTTCTTAGCGGCAGATACCAGAGAACCCTAATCAGTGCTGTCATGCTGCTGCCTAATGAGTGCTGATGTCACCCCACCAGCTCTGCTCAATCCCAGTGGCTGATAAAACTTGAAGCAATGGGCAGGCTGAAAGCCGTTCCCTCGGCAAAGCTGGGGAGGTGCTGCTGGCAGGGAAGGGGGCTTGGGGGGGGCCCACTAGGAGCTGGGGGTTGCTGCATGTGGCCGGACGGTGTGCTTTCTAGCCTGCTTCACCCACAGTCCATTTGATCTGTTCCTGTTTGTGCCCTTGCCCTGCAGCCTTGGGGCTGACAGAGAAGCTGATGAAACTCAACCCCGGTGGGAATGCCAAGCTGGTGAGCATGGGGAAGAGCCTGCAGGAGGAGATGGAGGCCCTGCTGGGACCCGATGGGGTGCTCCTCTACCCCTCCCACCCCACCATAGCTCCCAGGCACCACTCCCCCATATGCATGCCCTTCAATTTCGCCTACACAGGTGAGCAGCTCTCACTCCTCTGCTGGGGTACGGGCAGGGGCTGCAGGCATGTCCTCACCCGCTGCAGCAATGCAGCCTGGGAGCCAGGGTATTTTACCCAGAGTTTTTCCATCACTGACCGTGGGCTTTGCAGTGCAGAGGGGTGTCTTGCTGCTCCAGAACATGGGGCAAGGATTATGGTCATGCTTGAAAACTGTGGTATTTGTACCTGCTGTTGCAGCGGGGCACGTTTGATCCCGGGTGTGGGGGGCTCACACTGTTACAGCCAGCACTGTGGTTTAGCAGGCACCCGAGAGCTGCTGCATCTCTTGGGGTACAGTGTGGGAATCTCTGCGTGGCTTTCCTGCAGCTTGAGCTCCTTGATCCCAGCACTGTGTTGCAATGCTGTCTGGCATCGTTGTAATGGAGGGACGGTGCCTGGGGCAGGACCGTCTCAAAGCAGATCTTAGCATATCACAGCAAGTGCCACACAAGTATGTCATCACTTGTGGGTGCAGTTTGCATATGTGATGTGGGTGCTGGGAACCTCTGGCCCACGGTGTCCCCGTGTCACCATGTCTCTGCACCGCTCAGGCAAGGACCAGCTCCCAGGAGCCTGGCGCCATGCGTGGCAGCAGCTACCTACCTGGGTTGGGAGAGCCAGGCGGTGATGTATCCTGATTTCTGTGCTTGACGGGATGCAACCTCATCTCTTCCAGCTATCTTCAATGTCCTGGGCTTGCCGGTGACGCAGTGCCCGCTGGGCCTGAGCAGCGAGGGCTTGCCGCTGGGCATACAGCTGGTGGCCGCCTCCTACAACGACCACCTGACGCTGGCGGTAGCCCGGTATCTGGAGAAGGCCTTCGGAGGATGGGTTTTACCTGGGAAAGCTTAGCCTGGGCTCGGGGCGCTGCGGGGAGGCAGGGACAGAGATGGTGGTGCCCAGCGAGGCAGCAGCGGGTGCTGGTGCCCGATCCTGCCACAGCACTACCTGCTCCCTCCGCACCCCTCCGTGTGCCCTCCGGGGAGTGGCCAGCAGTGCCTCCAGCCCCCGGGGAAGCCAGGCTGGTGCTGGTGGAGTCATCTCCTCCCTGCAGCACCCTCTGCCAGGGGAGAGACCTGCCCTTTCCGTGGCCCCTGCGGAGCCCCGGTGCCGTGGGCTGGCAGCAGGCTGCCTGTGTCCTGCCTGTGGCAGGCATCTGTCTTCTCCTGGGCCTGGGGATGGCCATCTCTCTGTAACACTTGCTGACTTGAAAATGCTGAGTGAAGGCTGGGGAGAGGAGGTGCTGCCAGACTGCTCAGGGACAACCACCCAGAACCACCCTCGGGGCCCCCTGGAAGCATCCATCCTCCTTGGCCTTACCCTGCCTATGGTACTGGGACTGCACCTGGTGCACCACAGCCTTCCTGGCCCCTGCAGCCGCCCTGAGCTGTCACAGGGTTTCCCCTCACCCTCTAACCAAAAAGGGAAAGGGGCTGAGGGTGCTGGAGGCAGCTCGTTTCATGCGTAGTGCTTTGTGGGGTGGATGGTGCTGGGCTCTGCCCGGTGTGGAGCTGGCAGGCAAGGGCGAAGGAGCTTTTGCTCTTGTGAGCTTTTGTCAGCACTAGAAGAGCTCTTTAAATGCTCCTCTACGTGTGCTGAGACAGCTAAAGCATCTCCTGCCTGTGTCGTCTTGCCCTTCGGTCTGGGGGGGATCACCCAGCCTGATTGGCATCCCCTGCCACCCCATGCACGGATGCAGGTAGAAACGGGGGCACCTGGCGGTTCCTGGGGCAGGCAAAAAGCGCAAGATGTTCTCAGTGAGGGTGGCATTAAAGTCTGTCCGGTTCGCTGCTGGCTGTGTGTCCTTGTTCCTGTCTAGCTTTTGCCCTGCCGGCTGCACCAGCCATGTCGCCACTCGTGCTGTGCACCGAGGCTGCTGAGTGCAGCCAGCTGTGGGCACGGTGCAGGGACAGCAGTGAAGGTGGCACTCAGCAGCTGCTGGACTCTTGCGTTAAAATGCCTGGGCTGGCAGAGCTGAAGGGGCCAGCGAGCTCCAGCGGTGCCGCGGTTGGTGGCTCCGTTAGTCTCGTAGTGGTCACACAGCATTGCTCTCGGAAAGCGTAAGCCCTGTGCTGGGCTGCCAGGGCCCTGGGGCTCGTAGGATGATGCTGAGCCACACGTGGGTTCCTTGGGGTCACCAGGTCAGAGCAGGGTGCAAGGTCCCGGGTCTGCACAGCCAGCCTGCAGTGCTGGTGGCCACAAGGATAAAACCTCCTGCTGTTGGCTTTGCGGGGATGTCCTGGCTGGTGTCTTGTCATGCGAAGCGTCACTCCTGGTCCTGGCCCGATCCCTTTGCTTCTGCCTTCTGTCCCCAGGCGGTCCCTGCAAAGGGGGCTGTGGGTGCTGGGTGCTAAGCCTGGGTGCTGGCAGCATCTCGTCACTGCAGAGGGCACTGGTGAGCCGGGCGAGGGCTGCCAGCCCGGGGAGCGCGCAAGCGGCTGAGACACTGTTGGCAAGGAAGGAAGAAAAATAAAGCCTGACCCAAGAGAAAGGGCACGAACCACGAGAGCCAAATCACGTGTGGTGGGACGTCTCCCACAGCCTTGCAGCGCAGTGGCAGAGGACGGGGCCTGTCCCCCGGCGGGAGGGAGCCTGCGAGCTGGGCAGACCTCGACGATGCTTCCAGCGAACGCACGGAGTCTGGCGTGGGATTGCTGAGCTGAAGGCGGTTGTGTTTAACAGAGCACGGTGGGCACAGGGACGGCACCACCGCCTTTGCTCTAGCGGGTTCCTGTGGCGGCAGGGGCCAGATGAGGAACCGCGTGGCCCAAGGTAGGGGGGGAGTTGGTGCTTCAGGGTGGCACGGCGATGGGGGACACAGGTGAAGCAAGGGATGTGCGGAAAAGAGGGGGATTAATGTCTGCATTCTCAGCCCACGGGATAGCCACTGAACCATATTTTTACAGAAACCGCAACGTGGTGAGGGGTGCTGGGTTTTTCCCTCTGGATCAGGCGGGCAGGGGGACCTGGTGTGCTGGGGTCAGCAGGGTGCTGACAGGGACCACCCTGCGGCCTCCCTCGCTGCTGCAAAAGCACTGGCCCCCTGCGTGCTCTCGCCTCCTGCGGCAGGAGCAGCTCTGTCCCTGCTCGCACAGACAGCCGGGTCCCAGAGTCTTCCCAGGGAGCTGACTTGCTGCTCTGCAAGTCTCGGCACCTATCCCGTGGGCCCCTTCTCCCTCCAGGGATAAACACCTGCTGCCTTTGCTGAGGGCCTGCTGCAAAGCTGGGAGGTCTTGGACTGGCATTGGGGCAGGGGAAAGCCGTAAACTCGCTGCCCATACTTCAGCTCTGGCATTTTGGAGGTCTTGCCTCAGGGCTCAGAGCCCTTGCTCACACTTTGCAGCTAGCTGCCCATCCCCACTTGCTGGCTGCTCCTCCTTGTTTCCAGCTCTGAAAGATGGCAAGGGACAGGAAACTTGGGGAAGGTATTTTATACACGCCTGCCAAGGCGGTCATGATCGTAACGTTAATGTAGACTCAGTATAAAATGGGAAGAACAAGAGGCAGCAGGTGGGTGTAAGCCTATGGATGTCCAGTCCAGCCAGGGAGATGATTCCACCCATCTGCTTCTGGAGGTGGCCCCAGGCTCCCCACCTTCACTGGAGGACATGTCCCCACAACTGGGAGGTCAGCGTTGGTGGCCTCAAAGCCCTTGCACGTCTTTCCCTGGAGAGCAAGGTTCTCTCCATAGCCAGCAAGAGCAGGGAAAAAAATTGCCTGGTAGCTGAGTGCTGGGGCGAGACCAAGGTAAGGAGCTACTGGCCAAGTTTCAGAAAGAGGAAGGAGGAAGCGGAGTGGTGACATGCCACAGCACTGCCCCAGTGTCCCCTCCGGGGCTGTGCAGGGCTGTGACGCAGGTGCCCAGTGGGACCAGCCTCCGCTGTGGTCCATGCAGACAGGGATCTATTCGGAGCACGGCGCCCCAGGGGGGTGCCTTGGGGTGCTCTGTTTTGCCTGTCTGGGTGCCAGCATGCACGGTACCCTCCCTGTCCCACAGGGGCCGTGGGAGGGCTGGGAGTTCCGAAGCAGCAGTTTCACCGGTTGCGCCAGTGTGAGTCATGCCTGGAGCAGGGCTGAGTCACTGCCAGAGCAGTGTGAGCATCACACCAGAGCTTTCCCAGACCCCTGTCCCTGTGGCACCAGCAGTGTGACTTTTTGCTGCCTCTAGGGAGGGAGCAAACACCATGGGGGACCAGCTAGAGGTGGGTGCAGCAGAAGGTCCCTGCAGCACATGCATGGTGCCGTGGCAGTGTAGCAGCTGCTTGCTGTCCCCACGGGCCCTCTTGCCACCACAGCCCTAAGGGCACTTGCCCCACTGATGCTTCACCCCATCCCGGGGGGCAGCAGGGGTGTCCCCTGCCATTCTGCAGCAGCCACCTCTGTGCTACGGCTGGGCACTCAACCTCCCTGTGCAAGGCATGCCTGCGGTGCGTGTCACTGGCCACAGCTTTGTGAAAAAAAAAAAAAAAAAAAAAAAAAAAATTCTCTAATTCCAGGTTCCAGCTGCCTGTCGTGTTTGCAGGTGTCAGAACAGCTCCAGCACACCCGTCCTCCCAACATCACACCCAGCATGGCAGCATAGAGCTGGGGACAGATGGGTGGGCTGCGGCGGGATGAGCCCTGCCCTGAGCCTGCTTCTGTCCCTGGCCAGTTGCACCCTGCTCCGGGGTAAGTCCAGCCCTGGAGCTGCAGCAGCAGGCTGGGGAGCGGCCCTGGCTGCAGTTCGGGGAGAAGCATGGGGTCAGCTCTCAGCCCTACAGCAAGTACTTGCTGGGAAGATGGGACCGAGTGGTCTTCAAGGTGTGATGGGAAGGAAAGCCCCAGTCACCAGTGGCCACGGGCAGGATGTCGGTGCTTTTCACAAGACTGCAGATAGGACGCACCGGGATGTGCAAAAGCTTCACGGGATGCAGATGCTGAGCACCGTTCTGGCAGCCAGTGCTTGCCTGAGCCTGGCAGGGAGTTGCTGTTTGCCTCTGTGGGACTGAAGCTGGGGGTTGTAGGGTGGGAGGGTGTCCCAAAATCCCTACGCAAAGCAGGGAGACCTGTGCAGTATGGCCCAGTGGTGACCGGCCAAGGAGTGTGGCCCTGCAGAGCAGAGCAACATGCTGCCTGATGCCCCTCTGCCTCTCCCCCTCCCCAGGCATGCTGTTGCCTCCACGGAACGTGAAGCTGGAGGCACAAAACTTCCACATCCATCTGCGGTGGGAACCGGACCCTAGCTCTCCCGGCGGTGCCACGTACCAGGTGGAGTGGAGGAGACGGTAGGTGGGGTGATGGGGATGAGGGGGCAGAGGTGGCTCGTCCCCCCTGCCAGAGGGCTCTCAGGGACCCCCGCCGGCCAGAGGATTATCATCTAGCAGTAAATATCCTAGAGTAACAGAACAGTGGAGCTGGCAGGGATCTCCAGAGACCAGCTCGTCCAACCCCTGCTCAGGCAGGGCCAGCTCAGGACTGTGTCCTGTTGGGGTTTGACCACCTTCAGGGATGGTACCTCCACAACGTGCCGGGGCAGCCTGTTTCTTTTCCTGGTCACCTTCCCAGTAAAAAAAGAAAAAGGGTTGCTTTCGCATTAGGGTTTTGAGGGCGGTTTGCCTTATGCTTAAACAGAATTTCCTGTATTTCAACCTGTGCCTGCTAGCTCTTGCCCTCTCACTGGGCACCGCTGAGAAGAACACCCCATCTTCTTTACTCCATCACATTAGTAAGGTGTAAAAAGGAGAAATCCCTGCATTTTCTCCATGGGCAGAACCCCTCGCTGGACCAAGGCAGATACCTGCTGGGGGAACAGCACTGGCTCCTCCTGGACATGTGAGCTCTATTTCGACGAGATCCATGATATCTACTGGGCAAGGGTGAGAGCAGCTGCCAGAGGCGAGCTGTCCAAGTGGGCCTATTCCAGCGAGCTGCAGCCATACAGAGACAGTAAGGACCAGAGAGCTCATTCAGCTGTGCTTCTGCTCTTTCCAGGGGGGGCCTATGGGAAGAGGGGTCCTTGGAGGGGTCTGCTGGGATACGGTGGGAAATCATATGAGGGTACTGGTGGGAAAAGAGATGAGAGCCCCAACTGGAGGGAAGGGATGGGAGCAGAGCTGCTGGGGAAGGGCTGGGTGAAGAGCAAGGGGACAGAGGAGGAGACACAGTGAGTTGAGGACCACGGATGGGAGGCCCCAGAGCCACCAAGGTGCTGTGAGAATTTGGGTCTCTGGAGAATGCAGTGGGATGGAGCAGGAAAGAGGATACCCCTCCAGGCTTGCCTTTTAAAAGCATCCCCTGTTCATCCCTGCCATAGGTCTGGGAGATGTTGGGTGAGGGCATTTTTGTTCCAGCAAAGTAAAGCTGGTGCAGACTGGTGAAGGCAGGAGTAGTCCATCCAGCACTGTTTTTGCCCTGGCTGACATGTTTACAACATGCAGGCACGTGCCTCTTCTCAGTCACAGCCTGGCTGTCCTGTCCAAAAAGCTTCGCTGTCTTTTGGAGAAAGGGAAAACTTTGAGACCTTCACCTAACTCACCTCACAGGGGGCTATCGCAATGAACTGAATGTGCCAGCAGCTAAAATGGGATGTATGTCAGCTGTTTGGGTTCCCTTTGTCATTCCTTCTGCATCTAGCTGACATGGAAATAGATGCACTTAGCTAAAAGAGCAATTGCTGCACCCTGCAGCCAGTCTCTAGACCACTGTCTGATGGCTCAGAGATGAAGTGCTCAGCAGCAGGGAGCCAGGGGTGCTAGCAGGCCTGTCCTGGCCTGTGTTGGTGTGACCGAAGGAGGCAGAAGCAGTGCTGGCTGTCACAAAGATGTGGTGGCTGCCATTTCTCGAGCTGGTTTCACAGCACACGGTGCCATCGGTCTAGACCTGAAGAAGTTTCTGTGCACTGGGAGTGGGATGTCCAACAGAAAAACATAATTTCTAGAGAAATGAGATGCCTGCCTTCTGTTTTGAAGGGCTTAATTTTCCTCCTCCATTTTTTTCCCCTCCCTACAGCAATTGTGGGCCCCCCCAAGTTGTCCTGGCTGCTCCAGGATCACATCCTCAGCATAAATATCATCATGCCGCTCACTCCGTACCGAAGCAAAAACGGCTCTTACAAGCCAGTTGATCAAGTGCTGCTGAAGCTGTGGTACTGGCTGAGTCTGTACGAAGGGGATGTGCTCGTCCAGCAAGTATGTGGTGGGGTGGGCAAGGCTCAGAGTGCATGGGACTTACCAGAGCTTTCCTGGTGCGGCAAAGACGCCTGTGTCCAGTTGCCTTGGTGTGGTAGTGCCCATGCCCATAGAGTTGCCCCAGCCCCCCCCACACCCAGCAGTGCAAGCAGGCGTGAGATGCTTTGCACCCCCAGTTCGGGGCTCACAACATGGGGATGGCAGAAGATCCCTCTCCTCTTCTAGACTGCATGAGTAAGAAAAACCTGCAACAATTTCTCTTCAGGTGAAAGCATGCAGTAGGTGTTTAACAAGATGCTCTGGGACCTGAACACCTCCTGGGGTGAAGAAACAAGCACTGGAGGTGCTTGGTGGAGGGGCGGGGGGGGCTGTGCTCCCCACCGTGGGGCGAGTGAGGTATCAAGGCTGCACTGGGGAGAGGAGTGGTGCACAGACTCCACCTCCAGCCGCCTTGGCCACACATCCCCTCTGCTTCCAGGTGCCCTGCAAGCAGAGTGAGGAGGAAGCACCATGCACCTTCAGGTTCCTCAAGCCCAGCACGCAGTACTGCATCCGGACGGTGGCTGCGAACATGGCCAGGGAGCAGAGCCGGGAGGCCGAACAGTGCGTGGTGACACCGGCAGGCCCCGCAGGTGGGAGGTCTCTTGCTGGCTCAGCTGCTGTAGTTGCATCTTGGGTCCTGCTTGCAGCACGGACATGTGTGGAGCTGTGGGTCACTCACCCCCCCAGCCATTCTGGTCAGGGTTGGTGGCCCAGTAATGCCCTGTGGGGACCTTTCCTGGGGAAATTCTCTCTCACCATCCTCCTTGGGTTTGCCCCGCATCTCCTCCTCGAACATCCCAGTCTGCCACAGGGGGTCTGGGGAGGCACTGGTGTAAGGCAGGCTGGGCGGGATGCTGGCTGGGGTCCTCCCACCCACCCCTCAGCCTGTTGTGACCTCCTGGCAGGATTTCCCTGGGTCCTCCTTGCTGTGCTGAGTGGCGTCTTCCTGCTGCTGAGCATGGCCGGGCTCTGCTTCGTCCAGCTGCACATCTTCCCCAGTCCCTCGGAGACACACCTCCCGAGAACGCTTGTGAGTGAACAATCCTCCTCCAGCCTCTGTCCCCTGTGTGCCGCAGCCAAGCTGGGGTCCTCTGAATTTGCAGGGGGCTCAGCATCTCCTTCCTTCCACCCCCTGCACAGCCAAACCTGGCTTGGTGTTCGGGTGCCTCCCCTGCTTCCCGACACACTGCATCCCCAGGCTTTTCTGTGTGGGAGAAGATACTGGTGGGATGCATCAATCAGCCGTGGGTCACCCTGGAGGAGGGTGTCTTGGGGCAGCACGTAGCCTGTAAGCATGGTCCATGGCGTTAGGATCCTCCTGCCTTAGGCGGTTGGCTTTTGCTTGGCTTCATGTCCATCTACAAAATCTTGAAGGGGAGAAAGAGGGGAAGAGAAGCGAAGAGTGGGGCTACTGTCCTGTTTTGGCCTGGGTGAGATGCAGCCCCTCACTGCTCTGCCCTTGGGATAAATGCAGCCCCAAGGCTCTGAGAGGCTCCCAGGCCTGCAGCCCTGCTGAGCTGATCCAAAACGTGTTCTGGACCAACAGGACTGAGCCCTTTGGAAACAGTCACCAGGACAGCCTTCTCCCTGAGTCCCTGTTTCCCCCTGCATCCCAGTTTCCCAGTGCTGGGGGTGGCAGCAGCCTGGGCTGAGCAGCCCTTTGAGCTCTCTGGGGACAAAACAAACTTGCTAAGCTAAAGAAGTCCCCTATGCCAGTGTGAAGAGGAGGTGGCAGGCTGCTCTGCTTGCACTGGCCCAGCTCGGAGCCAGAGCCCTTTGCTTTCCTGTTCTTCCTAGCTTCTGCGCTGTAGTGAGAAAAGCCCTGCCATCACTGCTCCCTGGTGTGAGCACAGCAGACAGGCTGTCTGGGGCTGTTCCCTTCCTCGGGGTGCATGGGTCATCACCCCCAGGCCCATGGAGGTTTCAGCCAGCTGAGGCTGACTGCTTCGCTGATTGTTTCCCAGCAGGCTCTCCTGAACAGGGAGCTGAGTGTGACCATCAGGGTGCCCACCCTTGAGCTCGAGGAGGACTCACTCGCCCTGCTCCTGCCGACCATGCTCCCCTCCCGTGGGTCGCCTGCAGCTGAGCAGACAACACCCACAGTCCAGCTGCTCCTTGGGGAAAGTCTTTCCCAGGACATGAGTGGCTACTGTGCCAATGGGTTTGGGCCAGACTGCCACCAGGGAAAGGACCCATCCTGCACCAACAGCCAGCTGGGGCATGCCTTTGGCTCCTGGGTCTCGTTGCGGCTGGAAGAGGGTGGGGAAGCGCGTGATGGGGATGAAATGTTGGAGCAGCCAACGCTGGTGGGACCGACCAGAGGCAGCTGCACAGGTGACAGGGACTACCGGACATCCAAGATGTGGCTCTCCGTGCACCTCCAGCCTTACTCTAAATGCCAGTGCCCAGCCCTGGGAGCAGGCCCCTGCCCTCCTCTGCCCACACCGAGCAGGAGCTCCAGCCAGGAGGACCTGTGGGAGAGCATGGCAGGGCACTGGGTACCACTCAGCTCCATCAAGCTGCCAGCCAGCGAGGAGGAGGGTGGAGGGCAGCTCGTCCATGCTCTGCAGCCCCTGCCTGGCCATGGGACTGAGGCACAGCTGGGTGACAGCACCATGCAGCAGGACAACTTGGAGCAGACAGCACTGGGAGTCCCCCTCCCCAGCCCCTGCCAGTTGCCCCAAGTGCCCCCCAACATCCTACGGGCAGCTGCCTTCTCCGGCTACGAGCTGCGTCCCCCAGCTGCCGGTGAGCCATAGCAGCAGGCGGGGGCACGCCGGGAGCTCCCACCACCCGGGTCACAGCATCAAGCAGAGCTCCAGGTGCTGCCCCGAGCTGCCCCGACCGCGATGCCTGCCTGCTCAGACCTGCCGGTGCCTTGCTGGGGACAGGACCGGGGCAGGCACAGGCACAGGCACGCTCTGGGCACGGCTGCCATGGGTGGGGAGATCAGTATCTTCAGAGCTTTCCTCTGTGGTTTTGGTGCTCTTGAACCAACACATAAGGAATACATACCAAAGTCGAAGCCCCATCACTTCTGTCTATTTATCCACCTACATTTGTGTGTGTGTACAGTATACATACTAATGCAAATTTATGTATATACTCATACATATATGTAAACCTCTTTAGTAAAAGAGGAGGGTCTGGGTTTTTTTTGCTTGTCTGGAAATACTGATTGTGCACTGGAGCTATTTCTAAAATAACGCTAATTTATTGTGGAAAACTGGCTTCTGTGCTTATTCTTTCTGTGTTACAGAACCAGCACTGCCCTGCCTGACCAGCTTCTGGGAAAGCCGCTAGGAAAACCTGGGGTTTCACTGGGACAAAACTGTACCCGCAGCTGGTCTGCATGTTGCTGCCATGTGGGAAAAAGCTGGTTGTTCAGCAACCGCTGGCTAGTTTTATCATTCCTTTTACCAGCACTGGGGCAATTTACTTCTGAGGAGCCTTGCCCTGCAGCTGTCTCTCCAGGATGTCTTTTGTGAGACTGTGCCTGCAGCCACGGAGGTGAGGAGAAACCCTCTCTCCCGGTGTCAGGCAGTGTTGTGCTTTGCAGCGGGCTGGGATTGGGGGATTCCAGCTCGGGGGCACAAATCCTGGACTTGTGAGGTTTAAGTTGGATGTGGGAACAGGTGAGAAATTGGTGTCCAGCATCCAGGCATCTGGTAGAGGGAACAGAGGGCTCAGCACTGCCAGCCTTGGGAGCCTTTTGGATAGCACAGGGCTGCACAGGGCCACTCTCCAACCCTGAGTCATCCCTGACACCCCGGCTGTGCAAGCTCCCGGGGGTGGCTGTGCCCTCCCTCTGCCAGGCTGGCAGCCTTCCTCTTTGCCGGCTGCTGCGGCTGACTCAGCCAGAGACCCGCAGCACCACCGGCTGTGGTTTTCTGGCAGCTGAGCGGGGCCGTGGGGCAGCCCCGTTTGAGTGCTCCCAAACCAGAGCAAAGAGGTGTCCTCTCCCCGGGCAGCAGTGCTGCTGGGACAGCTTTGTCTCTGCTTCAGAGCAGGAAGCCGTGCCTTGTGCATCTCGTTAGCAAAATCTCTCTTAGTGATGACATACTGGATTTGTGTGGCAAGGTTTTGGCAGTGGGTGGGTTGCAAGGGTGGCTTCTGTGAGAAGCTGCAGGCAGCTTCCCCCATGTCCAACAGAGCCAATGCCAGCCGGCTCCAAGACAGACCCACCACTGGCCAAGGCTGAGCCCACCAGCGATGGTGGCAGTGCCCCTGGGATAACATATTTAAGAAGGGGAAAAAACTTCAGCCAGAGACAGAAGTGAGAATATGTGAGAGAAACAACTCTGCAGACACCAAGGTCAGTGAACAAGGAGGGGGAGGAGGTGTGCTTGAGTAGATTCACCAACAGTCTGGTGAAGACCATGAGGCAAGATATCCCCCTGCAGCCCGTGGGGGTTAATGGTGAAGCAGATATCCACCTGCGGCTCGTGGGGGTTAATGCTGGAGCAGATATCCACCTGCGGCTCGTGGGGGTTAATGCTGGAGCAGATATCCACCTGCGGCTCGTGGGGGTTAATGCTGGAGCAGATATCCACCTGGGGCTCGTGGGGATTAATTAACAGTGGAGCAGATCCCACCTGCAGCCCATGGAGGACCCTACACCAGAGCAGGTGGGTGGCTGAAGGAGGCTGTGACCCTGTGGGAAGCCCCCACTGGAGCAGGCTCCAGGACAAGCCATGTGGCCCCATGGAAGGGACCCACCCTGGAGCAATTCAGGAAGAAATGTGGCTAATGGGAAAGACTCACATTGGAGAAGGTCGTGGATGACTGTCTCCCATGAAAGGGACCCTACGTTGGAGGAGGGGAAGAGTGCAAGTCCTTCTGAGGGGGAAGGAGCAGCATGAAACAACAGGTGATGAATTGACAGGAACCCCCATTCCCCATCCCCCTGTGCTATGGGGGGGAGGAGAGAGAGAAATTGGGAGTCAAGTTGAGCCTGGGAAGAAGGGACAAGTAGAGGGAAGGTCTTTTAAGATTTAGTTTTTATTTCTCATTATTATACTCTGATTTAATTGGTAATAAATTAAACTAATTTTCCCTGAGACTGTTTTGCCCAGGACAGTAATTGCTGAGGGATCTCCCTATCCTTATTTCAATCCACAAGCCTTTTGTTGTATTTCTTCCTCTCCCCTGTCTAGCTGAGGAGGGGGAGCAATAGAGCAGCTTGGTGGACCCCTGGCATCCAGCCATGGTCAACCCACCACAGATTATGTGAGGACATGTGGTATATTAAATAGATTGAGCTGTTTAAAAAAAAAAAAAAAAAAAAAAAAAAAAGGAGAGAGAGAGTCCCAAGAGCTGCTCAAAGGAACATATGTGTTACCCACATGCTATTTGCTGCCAACAGAGTTCCTATCAGGCTCAGCTGAAACAAAAGTCTGATTTTCCTGAATTTGTTTCACTTTCTAGTTCTGATAAAATTAAAATTTGGGGCACAGGTGTCTGCCATCGTTGTAGGTCACATGAAATGGCCTTTTTAATTTTCAGGTGTTTAGAAAGAAAACAAAAGCCAAGCCAGAAGAATTCCCCATACTAAAATCAGGCAGACTTCAGAGGAATTGTGGTTTTGAGGCAAACAGGGGGGACAAAACACTGCAATCTGTAAATCCTTGAGCAAAATGTTCCACACTGACCTTCCTTCTTGCCAACCCATTTCTTTTTTTTTTTTTCTAACTTAAAGATTTTTGAGGCATTTGATCTATAGTTGTGACTGCTGTTGCCAAAGATCAGAGCCAAAACCATGTACCTGCTTTTCTTCCTCTGTGGCCCCACAGCCACTCCATCCTTCTAGCAGGTGAACAGGAGCTTCACAGTGATTGATCTCCTTGACAAGTGCCAGAGATGTGTGTCCTGCTTCTGTTTCAATACCTTGGGGAGTGGAGACCCTGGTCTTTCCCCACATATGGCTAATTTTCTTCACTAACAGTTTCCCCAAGGATGCATCGCAGTTGTCCATGTTATGGTTTCTTGCCCTGTTCCCCAGGGAACAGCTTATTGCCCTTCTCCTCACAGCTCTCTGCATCTTTCTTCAGTCTCTCTTCTAGCCTAACATCTTGATCCTGTTGGTCTGGTCTCACCAACTATGTTCGTTATGTCCTGTATTGGAGAGCTGAGCTCTTTCAGAGCTGGACCACTGCATTTCTTTTGGCCACACATGTGACCACACAACGCTGTCAGCAATGTGAGCATTTGCAGCTGGCCAGTATTACAGCAACAGCCTGGGACGAGCCCTAAAATCCACTTTATACCCGCACCAGGGAGCACGCATTTGTGCATTGTTCACCTGGAGATGGGTAATGTCGAGCTGTCTCCTCACACGTGATGTTCAGTAGATGCAGGCTGTGTGCTGTGAGCTGAGGTTTGGAGCAGTGCAGTGCTGCAGCTGTGCAGAAAGGCAGGCATGTTCTTACTGCCAGGACACTGGCTGCAGGCAGTCAGCAAAAGTGGTGTCGTGTCCCCATGCAGCCGGTCATGGGACAGCTCAGGTTGGAAGGAAGCCTTGGGAGCAACCTATCATCTCCTGCTGCTCAGAGTAGGGTCAGCAATCTGAGGCCAGACCAGGCTGATCAGGTCTTTTCTGGCCTGGAAAACTTCTGAAGGTGGAGACTGCACGACTCTGAGCATCCTGCATCAGTCCGGGACTGTCCTTGGTGATGGGAGAGTTTGACCAGCAAGACAAGGAGGTTGCAGCCATTGTTCAGGAGTGAGCAGAGATGACATGCCACGGGCTTTCTCTCTTACCATTGTTCATTGTGGTGTCTGGTCACCATCTCCTTTGTGCTTCGCAGTCACCGAAGTGGCTCAAGGTCGTAGTCAACCCCACACAATGTGGAGCCCCATTTGACTGACTGCTTCATCCCTAGCAGGGCTGATAAGGCCTCCAGCCCCACCACTGCTCCTGAAGGTCATTGTGTGGTGGCAAGGCATTTGCAAGGAGCCGTTCAACAGGAGCGTTGGTTAAAGCTGCACTGTTGCATGTGCAGTGAGACTCTGGGAAGGAGCCACAGCCTCAGCTTGAGGTCCTCCAGGCCAAGCAAAGAGTATGCATCGTGTCAGTCCAGCCTGTGCTGCACCAGCCAAGACCTGGGCTGTTTGCTGGGAAGAGCTGGCCCAGCATAGTGGGACTAAACTGTCTCCCACGGCTGCCTTGTTGGATGCTGGGCTCATGCTGGGGCACAGCCAGTGCTTTTATAATGGCCTGCCAGGTCTTTAAAGATCAAAAGAAAAACAGCTCTTTTCTGAGTTTTTGGCAGGGTGACTATACTGGGATCCCTGTGGGTGATTCAGGCGAGTTACTCACCAGCAGCAGGGACTCATCCCAGCCCAGGGGGTGGTTGAAGCAGCTGAGATGTCCCCGTTCTGTACGAAACAGAGATGTTCATGCAGAGTGGAAAAAGGCAGACGGCTCATGACATTTCAAGATGGCATTTTAGCAGCTGAAGTTTCCGAATGGATGTGAAAAGGGGATTTTTGCTTTACCTCAGAGGTGTGAGCAGCATGTGGGGCTCTGCAGAGCCACAGCAAGAAGGTGCAATGCTCGCTGCGGGGGTGAGATCGCTGCATGCCCCAACAAGGACCTGCCGCCACCGTGCACGGCTCAGGGTCTGGGTGGAGTGGGTCTAGATCACACCCTGTTCCGCTCTGCCTGGCTAAGCCTTACAGACTGAGCAGGATGGGGTTGTGCTGGAGGATGGAGCTGGGTCCAGGGGCAGGCCCCCAGCCAAGCCTGTCCCTCCATCGCTGCAGCAGCGCTCAGGCATGTGCACGCACCCGGATCCCACCTTGTGCTCACAGGGACCCCACGCTCCCTCTGCAGCCTGGAGATGGGTGAGCTGGTGATGGGTCCTTAGGCATCCAGCCCAGCCCCACAGCACCCAGCATCTCGGAGATCAGCTTCTGTTTCTCATGCTGGCCTCGGGCCCATGGCCACAACGCTGTGCCGGGAGATCCTTGGTGCAGAGGTCTGTGAAAGCTCTGACTCGCTGTGATTGACAGGCTTATTCCTGGCTGCTCTCCGCGCTGTTGGCAGTGTTTTCAGCTTCTGTCGGTACCAGATCAAAGCAATGAGACGAATGCAGCTGAAATACAGCTCCTTATTAGAAACAGCAGGTTTAGTTCTATGCAAGAGGGTATTTCTTGTTACTAATTCTCAGAGATGAACTGCCAGCCTATAGAAGTATTGGAGAATGGAAAATTGCTATGCGGGGG